CAGCATGGCCTTCCTTGCCTTTTCCTCCTTTCCCCATGGTCTGCTTCATACGTGGGTGTGAGCTGTCACCATGCGTCAGGCACTGTGCCAGGGCATTAAATGTACATCAGCACATGCAGGCCTCCTCCTAGCAACCCTGTGAGGTAGCTGGGGACAGACGTACCATTGTCACACAGCTGTGTGGTGATGTGGGACCCAGGACAGCATAACACAGTCCACAGTATGTATTATATATATACCAGGGGCTGACGGAGTACAACCCACGGGCCTGCTGTGTACGGCCTTGCGAGCTAAGAATGATTTTTAAAGGCTTGTAATAAAGAATAAGAATATGCAACAGAGACCGAACGAGACCATCGAATCTAAAGTATTTACTGTTTGCCTTTATAGAATAACTCTGGCAAGCCCTTGGTATAGAATATGCAGAGTTTAGCACAGATTCCGGAGCCACACTGTCTGGGTTCTAGCACCTCAGTTTCATTAACTATAAAATGAGAATAATCTATAAAACATGGCTGCCTCACAAGGTTGTTAGAATTAAATGAGATAAAGAATATAAAGCACCTAACCTTGAGTCAGCTTCTTTGGAAGTACTGGAGGAAACTGTATCTGAGCCTTTGCCAGGCTTCTCAACCCAGTGGGCTACCCCGGCCCCAAACAGGCTTCTTTAGAGCGTTTCCTTTGGCAGGAGGAGAGGGACCTGCCAGCTGCCCGTTGTGCCGCGTCCTGCTGGTAGGTCAGCGCTGCCTTCCTCCCACCCCCATTCCTGCTGACCGTCAGCTGGTGCCACTCACCAGGGCTGGGCGCAAAGCCCATGCCAGGTGCCGAGCTAGGCCCGCAGGTACCAAGCCTGTTCCATTCTCCACCTCATGCCTCAGATCCACCTGGCTGAAACTCCTGCTTAACTGCAGGACTTGTGGCCTGGGGTTCATCCTCTCTGTGTGCATTTCCTCATTCATGTGCCAAACAGGCAGACATCTGTGTTTCCCCAAGCCCAAGCTTTTGGCTAATGATTGCCTTCCTACCAGGGAAAAGGAAAGAGAAGGGTAATCCTGGGCAAGCCAGCCTCCCTCTGTGAAAGAGCGGTCTGCAAAACAGATTTTCAGTGGTTAATGAGTGAAATGTAAAGATTTTTTAAGAAACTCAGATCATTGAAAAAAGTCAAAAGAATATTTTCTGATCTGGATAGGGATAGGCTTTCAATTCTTACAAACTATGGAAGAAATGATAAGATAAAAAAACAAGAAATTGTACTACTTAGAACCATAAAATTTATGTTTTACATCAAAAGACCTAAAACAAAATTTTAACTCAAACTGAGAAAAAATAGTTCTGCCAGATATGGCATAGAATTAATATTCTTAAAATAAAAATCTTTAAAACAATAAGGCTCTTGAGAACAACAACAACAGCAAATTTTCATTTAGGACAGTAGTGCCCCCTTATCCGCAGTGTTGCTTTCAGCGGTTTCAGTTACCCCACTGTCAACCACAGTCAGACAATATTAAGTGGAAAATTCCAACAATAAACAACTCTTTTAAATTGTGTGCCATTCCAAGTAGTGTAATGAAATCTTGCTCTGTTGTGCTCCATCCCACCCAGGATGTAAATCAGCCCTTTGTCCAGCCCATCCACACTGTACATGCTACATGCCCATGAGTATAGGAAAAACCAGCATACATAGAATTTGGTACTCTCCATGGTTTCAGGCATCCACTGGGGGTCTTGGAAAGTGTCCCCTGCACAAAAGGGTGGACTACTATACTATGTATTTTATATATACTTGCTCATTTAATCCTTATAAATGAATAAATATTTATAACCTTTATGATAAAGGTACTATTATTTTCCCCATTTAACAGATGAGGGGACTGAGGCTCAGAGAAGCTAAGTAACTTGCCCAAGGTCACAGCTAATAAATGGAGAAGATGGGATTGAACCCAGGCCATCTGGATCTTGGGTCTGAGCACTTAAACTCTTCTATATGAAACAGGAAAAATATATTAAGCAGACAATACACAAAAGAGGAAATTCAAATATGTGAGGAAAATAAGAATTACTTTTCAATTTCTGTGGGAATCAGAAAAGTACAAATAAAAATGAGATACCATTTTTGTCTTAAAATTAGAAAAGGTTTTTAAATACTATAATAATTAATGAATACTGGTAATGCTGGAGTGGTACAGAGTCCCACAGATTGTTGTAGTTGTATTCAAGTGGCCTTTCTGCAAAGTATTCTGGCAGTACTCAAAACAATACTCAGGAATCTCAAAAATGTCCATACCATTTGACCAGGAATTCCCATTCTAAGAATCTAATTTGAGAAAATAGAGATGTAGACAAAGATTCATGCACAAAGATGTTCATAGAAATGTTATATAAAATAATGAAAAATTAGAAACAGCCTATCTATCTGATAATGGGATACAGGTTAAGGAAATTGTTTAATCTCCATAATGGGCAATTAGGCAGTCATTTTACATAAATCTGGACAACAAAAGAGACCATAAACAAAGTGAAGAGACACCACAGACTCCTGGGAGAAGACACTTGCAATGCTTATAACAATTATATAAACAAAAGAATATACAAAGAATACTTATAAATCAGTAAGAAAAAGGCAAACAAAGAGCAAAACAGGCAAAGAATGTAAACACGCAATTCATAGAAAAAGCAATTTAGGGCTAGTAACATAAAGACATGCTCCATCTCACTAGTAGTCAAGAAAATGCAAATTAATCACATGTACTTAATCAGAATAGCAAGAGTCTAAAGGCAAAGATAGAGGGAAACGAATTCATATCCGTTGCTGATGGGACCATAAATGATGGGACTACAGCCATGGTGGAGAGCTGTTTGGCCACACCTGGTAAATGTAAACATGTGATTCCGCCACAATCACACTTCTAGGGATCAATGTGCACAAACACCAATTTGTACAAGGATACGTGTTCCAGGATGTTCACTGCAGTGTTGTTTATAGTAGCAACAGTGGTAATAGTATTGTTGTAAAATATTATGGTATATTATATATTGTAATATATAATGTGTAATAAAGTAGCAACAATTATCATCATTAAAGAACTGTCCATCAGAAGGGAAATGGATGAGTAAAATATGATTTATGCATAATGGGATGTGTGCTATGCACAGTTAAAATAAATGAACTAAAGCTGTATCAGCTCAGAGAGATTTCAGAAACAATGGTATAAAGAGCAGGTCATAACAGAAGACACATATTTGAATGACACTACTTATGTAAATCTTTAAAACAAACTAAAATTTTTATATAATATTTAAGGACACATACATGTAGAAAAATATAAAACAAGCATGCAAGTAACGTACACCAACTTCAAATAGTGGTTACTTCCAGGAAGGAGGGAATGGATGGAGGGCCAAGGATGGGAGGTGGGTCTTAAACTGTATCTTTATAATTGATTAATTTTTTTAAAGGTTGACGCAAATATGGCAAAATGGTAACTAATGTTCTGAATCTGATCGAGGAATATGTCTTTCTGTTAAATTATTTTTTGTACTTTTCTGCATATTGAGCTTTTTCAAAATTTCAAATTATTTTTAATTTACTTTTTGAACAATTCCCAGTTCTATGGAGAAATGCTTGTGTTATTAAGGCATAAAAACAACACAATAGATACACAAATATTTACAAGTTTCACAGATTGAAGGTTTGAAAGAGATACCTAAAATATTCATAGCAGTGGGCAAGATTCTAGAAGTCTGCTTTTCTTTACACCTATCCATATTTTTCTTTTTTTTCCCCCTTTTTACCATGAAGATGTATTACTTTTATATCCAGAAAAAAAAATTTTTTTAAACAACTACAGAAAAGTGTGAGCAAGTTTAGTTAGACTCCAGGAAAGGGTCTAAAACCTAGGAAGAGGTGCTGTGATGGGGTGGGAGCATCACAGGCTGTCAGAGAGACCTGTGCTCGAATGCTGGCTTGGAGATTGGCCGTAGGACTCTGAGCTCTTCCATCTTTGATCTAGTCAGCAAACCCCTGTTGAGCCGCAGCTGGGGACCAGGCTCCGTGCTAGAGACAGGGCAGTGAACAGAACATGTGTGTTCCTTCTCTCACTGTAGGGCAGACAGTCTAGTGAGGAGGGGATAGTAAACACATCACCACCCAGACCATCTATCCGCTGCCTATGAGGGAAAGCACAAGGGCAATGACAAGAATCCAAGTTGATCGGGTGCCGGGGAATCTGGCCTCTGAGCATGATTTAAACAGATTCTGGAGGATGGGGGTTGTGGAGCCCAGCAAAGCCAGGACTTGGAGAGAAAGGCCGGCCCCACAGGGCATATTTCAGGGACTGAAGGAAGGCAGGGGTTCTGGCATGCAGTGGGGTGGGGAGAGTTGTGCAGGGGGACCCCAGCAGGCTGGTCCGGAGCCAGATCACTCAGGGCCTCACAGGCAAGGAAAGGCCTTTAAGGGTGGGGGGAACTCAGTGAAGGGTTGAAGCAGGGGGGTGACCTGGTTAGATCTGCATCCTCAGAGATTGTTTTGATGCTCTTTGAAGATCAGAGTTGCGGCAAGCAGCCCAGTTAGTTGGCTACTGGTGTGGCCCAGATGAGGGAAAATGGGGTTGGGATCAGGGTGATGGCAGTGGAGATGGAGAGGTGTGGAAGGATTTGAGAGACTTTCAGAGGCAGAATTGGCAGGTCTAGGATTGTGTGTGTGTGTTTGTGGTGGGGGGAGATGCAGGTGTGGGGGTGGGAGGTGGCACTGAGGGAGGGGCCCCGGAGGAGAGCCAGGTTTGGGACCTGAATGGTTGTGGGCTGGTGGGAGCGAAGAAAAGAGCAGACTTAGGAGGGCAGGGGAGGAAGCAGAGATGGCGAGCGGGCCCCCAGGTGTGGCTGAGCTTTGGTTTCTTCCTGCGTAAACTGGGGGTTTGCAGTGATACCTGCGCCCCCAGGGTGAGTGTTTTGGCCCTGTTCCCCAGAACCACGTCTACAGCAGTCTCGTCTCTCCCTCGCAGGCGGGACGTGTTACTCTTGGGGCTGGAACGAGCACGGCATGTGCGGGGACGGCACCGAAGCCAACGTCTGGGCCCCAAAGCCCGTGCCAGCTCTGCGGTCATTGTCGGGACTCCGCGTGGGCTGCGGGGCCGGCCACTCCCTGGCCCTCTGCCAGTGGCCAGCCCTCCCTGCCCTGGGCCAGCACCCCAGGGTCACTGGTCCTTTCCCAGATGCCACCGAGGAAGCCGGATCTCAAGAAGCCATGGACCAAGAGAGAAACTGGAAAGACAGACATGCAGAAGCTTCTCCCCAAAGCCAATCTGACAGGTTCAGAAATGGGGGGCTTGTGACAGAGACCCTTTAATAAAGCAACTTTACCCACCCAAAGTGTCCCCAGAAAAATGCTTTGTCAGGTTGCGGTGTTGGCCTGCGAAGGATTCAGGAGGCACTCTGGGTGGGCTGACCAGACGGGAACAATAGGAGCCCAGTGTCTTGGCTCAAGGAATGGACATCCTTTCTGCCCAGCATGTGAGAATGAGGGTTCAGTCCTCACCCAAGGACATGGGAAGCAGAGGAAGGCTCCAGCCTGTCCCTAGCTGGTGAGGACAGAAAGCCCAGCTCTGTCCCCAGTGGTTGTTTTGCCCCAGCAGGCTTTGATTCAGCAAGACAAAGGTTCCTATAGGCTATGCTTAGGGCAGCCACAGGCCTCTCCTGGGGTTTCATTCTCAGCACCCAGAGCATGTAGTTTGCTGGTTCAAGTATATCGAGGAACCCTGATCAGGTGGCTGGTTACTTGGACAGGAAGGAGTTCTTGTCTTGGTGACTAGGACCAAGGAAGAAGGCTCTGGAGGGAGGGTGGGGGGTGGAGGAAGTATAGATGAGTAAGTGGAGGAAGAGACAAAACTTCTGGAAAGACCAGGCAGAGGAGACCCCTGGGACAAACAAAGGAATCTAGAACCAATGAAACTCCCAAGATCAATGTCTTCATCTGAGCCAGGAAGGACTCTGGAGCTAGTCTGTGTGACTGTAATTGCCAAGCTGTAGTTTCGGGTGAGGGACAGACACAGCGTGGGAAGGGGCTTCTTCAGGGAAAGACCCTGACCCCTGACATCTGCCCCCAGGCCCTGGCCTCTGCAGGAGGAGGGCCCTCACGTGAAATGGGGAGCAGGCCAGACCCCAGGCCTCAGGCTTCCCCGGGTGGCAGCTATGGCCCTGGGGGACATAGCAGCTTTCTCTCTGCTGTGGCTGGCAGCAGGCCTTTGGCCAGAGGGCCTCAGAAAGTGGCTTTCCCCAGAGGACTGAGTGGCAGTGTCTCCAGCTAGCCAGCCAGGGTTGTGGCGTGTCCCACACCACCTCCCTCTGACTCAGGAGAGCGTTTGGATCTGGGAGCACTAGGCTCCAAGGGCTTGAGGATGTTATGAAACCCCAGGACTCCATGTACACATGGAGGACCTGTAATGACCTTCTAGCCTAGTGGCCGTCAAACTGCATTCTAGAACCCTAGCAGTCTCCTGAGACTGACAGCATTCTCCTGAGAACTCAGTGGCCACCTTGTGGGCTGTGGGGAAAAGAAGGCCAAGTAGACAGAGGTCTGGGTCCCCACCCTCCACCTTATTCACAGCAGCCTCATTTCAATTTACAGTGTATATCAGGCTTCACTTAAGATTTCACTTGACAAAGGGGTCCTTGAGAAAGTTTTAAAACCACTGATCTTATCCAACGTTTTCATTGTTCATGTGGGAAAACAGAGGCCTAAAAAGGGGAAGGGACCATGTCAAGGCCATACACCTCACTCCTGGCCCAGGGTCCTGATTGGGAGGTGACCCATCCAGGGCCTCGAGCCAGACAAGGGGGGAAGACAAGGGGTGGCCCTGGGACCAGTGGGGGTTCGACTCAGGAAACTGGGGATTAGGGCCATCCTGAGCTCCCCAGGCCTGCACCTAGAGACCACCCACGGCCACTGGCTGACCTTGAACACCAGTACGTGGAGTCCTGCTCCCAGTATTGTACCCTAGAAACATTGCTGCCCTGGCCAGCAAAGCCCTTTGTCCCCCCATCTCCCAGAACCAGCAGAGGCCAGTACAGCCTCTAAAGCACTTCCAGAATGGAAGGAAGGACATCTCTGTGCACTCTGAGCTGGTCTTGCCAAGGTGACCAAGCCTTCAGAGATGGAGTAATTGGATGGCCCAGAGATGACCCAGACTGGAGCAAGTCCACCATTACTGGCCACCACCCACTGTCCTACAGACTGGGTGGTCTGCACTGGAAGGCCACCCCACGTGGGTAAGTCCTCAGGCCCATACCTCCCAGACAGTGTTTACACTCCCGAGGAGCGTACACTCTCACTGCATGGCCGTGCAGAGTCCCCCTACCTCTTTCAGCACTTGCTGGAAGAGACCCAAATCCCAAGTCCTCTGCTGCTGAGCTCTAATGCCCCTCCCAAGGCTTCCCTGTGGGCGCAAGAAAGTGTCTCGGGGCTCCTTCCCAGCCTGAAACAGGGTGGTGAGGTGGTGCCTCAGCCCTAAATCTCAGAGCCTTGCTCGGAACCTGAGCCAGACCCTTCTTAGAAGCATGTGGAACCCAGCTAATCCATGCACGCAAGAGTGAATGGCTCTTGGCACCGGATGACTCCACAGACTGTCCAGTCCCCTCCAGTTCCTCCATTTCTCCCTCCCTAACAGTGGCGGACGGGCTTCTGTGCGTCAGTTCACTGGCCAGATTGATGAGTGCCTGAAAGCGCCAGTGGGGTGCGGGTCTGTTGACAGTGTCTCCCAGACTCTCTTCTGGACCCTTTGAACCCTACTGGTTATTCTCAGACTTGTAGATGTCCAAGCCCCTCATTTCCACTAGTTTCTGAGCTCTTCAAGAGCAAGGGACCAGGTCTTGGCCAATTCTGGAATCCCTTCATTAAGGACAGGTCCTGGGACAGAGAAAGTACCCAATAAGCATGTTAGGGTCACCATAGGTGAGGAGGCTAAACGAGTGGGTTCTGCAATCCCCTCACCCCTACCCACCCTCTGCTTTCATTTCTTACAGATGTTTGATAACTATGCCGTGGATAGCACAACCATTTGACAGTGATTAGCTAATGAGAAAATGCCCACTCATTTCTAAGAATGACTTTTTTTCCCTATAGACTAAGTTGATTGGCCTTCATATCCCTCACCCCGCCCCCGCCACACCCCATGAGAACGAGGGAAGGGAAAAGGAGAGGGGAGTGAGACCCCATCGTGTGCTCATAGGTCTTGGGCCCGCAGCCCCTGCAGTGATTGTCGAAGGGCAGCCACGTACCAGGCGTGAGCAGGATGTTTACATCCTAACCTACCACACACAGTCTCCCCTTGCAGGCACTCCGGCTTCCCTTGACGCCCTACCACCTTCAGTCCCAGTGGACCATCAGGCCAAAATTCGATGAGGCTGTGCTTGAGAACGGTGAATCCAGGCCTGGGGCTCAGAGAAAGCCCTCCATCACCATCCACCACTTCTGAGTGAAGTGACTTAGTGAGAAACTGAAGTTGGGAGGTAGACAGTGAGTCAGGAAATGGGATGAGGTTCCAGGTCCTAAGGGGCACACATATAACTGCGGCAGGGTTCGAATTTCCTAGCGGCCAGAGCACGGAGAGGTGAGAGTTGGGAGAGGAGAGCCGGGGGGCCTTGCTAGCCAATTTAAGGAGCTCTGACTTCATTCTTAGGGCAACAGGTGTTTATGCAGAAAATTGAGGTGGTCAGATGTGTGCGTGGAAGGCTCAGAGCAGTGTGTCAGTGGGCCTTCGGTCATACCCATGGCCTGAGGGCCCTGGGATTCAGGACCGGTGTTCCAATCAATTCCATCTCCAGCCCCAGCAAGGCCTCAATTAGCTTGAGACAGCTTCACCTGAGCTCTGGAGTCAGACCACCTGGGTTAAAATCTTGGCTTCATCATTCATTGGCCGTGTGGCTTTGAGCTGTTTACTTCTCTGCGCCTGTTCTCTTGCCTCTAAGATGAGCATGTTGAATTACTGTGGGTCGTCATCAGACCACTTGTCTCAGATGCCCTGCACATGGCAGAAGCTCAGTGTATGTTAATCCCTGTTCCCCGTTAGCTGCTGTGTCCCTGAAAATCCCTATTCCAAACAGCCACGTGTCAAGTCCCACTTGAGTCCACCAGAGGCACTTCTTCCAGGGCGAGAGGGAACTCTGCTCTCCCTGCAGCCGCTGAGGCTACTTGGCTTCTACATCCTGATGCTTATGAATGGCTGTTATATACATGGTGTGGATCTGGCAGCTCTTCGGCTGCATAACCCGTGGGCAGAGGCCTTGCCATGCTCACTGCTCCACTGATCCCCACCCCACATTGGTGAGGTAAATGCTTAGAGGGGTGAGAAACTGTTGGGTGAGAATTCGACACCCACCTTCAGCCTCCCACCCACCCATATGATCGTTGTCTTGGCCATGCTGGGAGGCATCAGGGAACGGAAATCCAGGGGAAACTGACCCCCATTTGTTTGTGGCCCTGGTCAGATCACTCCCCTCTGGGCCTCAGTTCCTCATCTGTAAAATGCTCAGAGGTGGAGTGCCATGACCATTAGGGACTTTCCACCGGAGATTCTCGAATGGATAGGAAAAGAATTGGAACTCCAGTCCCCCACTCTACCCCCAGCCAAAGCCAAGTGAACAACCCAAGCAAATCAGCATCCCTAGGAGAGGGCTCCACCCCTTCCAAGATGCCTCAGGCTGAGGGAGGGGTATGTGATGAGGTGACCACCAGACTGGGCCCAGCAAGGGTTCAGCTGGATAGGGCACCCGGACCAGTCAGACCCCTGCCTCTGGCTCCATCAGATTCAACAGTGGCCCTAGGAGGGAGGTGACCATGGTCTGCATGAGGGGCAGTGGCGGGGGCGGGAGCTGGGAGCTCCAACAAAACCAGATTCAAGGAGTCATGAATATGGCATGGATCCACGGAGAAGTTTCCGTATTGGTGAACCCCCTAGAGGATGGGCTCGTCTTAGTGCCATTTTTGACCGATACCTTCTGAGAGCTGCCTCCCTCTCCCCACCCAACAGGATCTGCAGGTTGGGGGGCAGGTGGCGCTCCTGGCTTTCCCCCAGTGAGAGGAGAGCCAGCACCTTGGGTGGGTCCCTGAGATCAGAGGAGCCAGGGCTCAGGCTCACCCCAGCCCAGCCACAGAGGGCCTGACCAGGGGCCCAGAACTGAATCGCGACACTGCCAAAGGCAATAAAAACCCAAATCCATGCTTCATCTCCAATGTCAGCTGTTTATTATTGAGGGCCAGGGCCCAGGGAGGGGAGGGTGTTGAACTAAAGCAGCATTGCTCTCTTTCCAGGAAATGTTGCGAGCTGCAGTGAGAGCTTGAGATGTTGCATTTTTTTTTTCATCTCAAGCATGTGTTTTTCAAAAATATCATCCTTCCCCACCCCTTACCCCACCACTAATTTTAGAATCAGACCAAAGCCAAGCTACTGTCCTCTGTTTCTGTTGGGGAAATACTATATTTATTCGAGATGCAGAAGCGTGTCTCTGCAAACCTCCGATTGCTTCAGGAAAACAAATCTGCTTTAGACTATACAGAAACCATGACACAAAATTTATTTCATGCTAGGATCGCTTTGCATAACATTGGGCATGCAGTTCTTTACTCTGAAGTACTAAATTGCATACAATGCCGGGTTGTGCCTTAATCAAGGTGGAGGAGGACCAGCCCTCCCGCGGTCCTGATCTTTTTGGTGCTCTGAAGGAACGCTTGGAAAATCCATAAGGTGTTGATTATCTACTATGAACAATTTGTTATGAAAGTTGGTCGCACTGAATCTACACACCGCTAAGATGATCGAATCAACCTAGACTAGCCGCTGTCAGGGGTCTTGGGGAGACGTCCGCTGGGTCGCAAGCATGCCAAACAGAGGGAAGAAGGCGGCAGTGTGTTTCCACAATTCTATTTGGAGCAAAGTTCTCAGTTTCCGCGTGAGAGATGAACTATGAAGGGGAGGTCAATATGACCGATGACTGACCAACTGCCCTTTTGGGAACCTTTACTCTCCATTTCAATCCCGTGTACAAAAAGGGAAGCAATCCGTTCCCCATCCCCACCCCTCCCCGCCCCCCCGCTCCATTCCCCCCCAAAACGTACAGGTTTCTACCAAATGCCATTTACAGTTTGGCTCCAACAACATGTATAAAAGGAAAGCGCTTTGAAAGAAAATAGAGGACTCTTGCTTGTTTCTCTTCGTTGTTGTCGTGGTTTAGGGTAATCATACAGTTGCAGGGGATTGGTGGGTTTGGATTGCTGGGTTTTTCTGTTGAACTTCATGCAAGTCATGCTAAGGAACCCTTCCATCCCACCCCTTCCCCGAATAAAATAAAATTTTTAAAAAATGAAAAGAAGGAAAACAAATCCTCTACAGTCAGTTACCATTTGGCCGTAGAAAAGCTACGTCCGTCCTAGTACAAGGCCTGGGCCACTCGGACTCGTCCGGCAAACCTGCATGGCGTGAATTTACTCTGTCCGAGGGTGAGGAGGGGCTGCAGGTCCACCCAGATGCTTAATAGCCACCAGTGTCCTGGGCCAAGCCGCCTGGTCAAGTCACTCTCACAGCCTCTGTCGGCATATACTTAGCAATGACAGGGCTTTCTTTGCAAAGATCTGTATGTAAAGAATACAATTAACACTTGAGCTTCTCTTCTTGGCTTTCCCATCCCGCTTGGTACTTAGTTTTTACGGAAGGAGGAGGACAGACAGAACAGCCGCATGCAGAGGCAGGCAGATTCTTCTCCAGCTGGCTTGGTTCTCCCATGCAGTGAGCCAGCCTAGCACGCCTCTTTCTCTCCTTCCTGGGGGAACGGGTTAAGCTCCTAACTCTTCTCTACCCTGCACATGGCTTACGGCCTGGAATCATCCTGAGAAAGGCAAGTCCTCGGCGGCTGTCATGACTCCATGAGAGCGGGGCCGGGTTGATGCTGGTGGGGGCACTTCACCCTTGGTACCTCTGTGGGACTGCGGAGTGGGTACCACCTGTGGACAGTGGTTGCCACTGGACTCCCTGGCCACTACAGGCTGCTTCTGTCCCACACAGCCTGGGCTTCTGGAAGCCCAGTAAAGAGTCTCTCCTGTCTGCTCTTTTAGGCCACACAGATTAATCCAACATTCAAGATGAAGGAGACAGGCAGCCCACGAGACCTTTCCGGGCAGAGCACAGCCACTGGGAATGGTCTACCTGCCATCCCCTGAAACCCCCTGGGCTGCCCAGTTCCTGGCTTTCTAGAGCCTCCACTTGGGAAAAAGCCAGTTGTGAAGGGGAGCATCAGGCCTATCCATGGAAGGCCAAGGATGGGGCCCGCCCCCGGGGCCAGCAGCCCCCTTGCCATGCAGCACCATGCGGGGGGTGGTATGCCACACTGGGGTCCAAGGGACCTCCAGGCCGGGCAAGGAAGCAGGGACCAGCCTGGATCGGGTGAGCACACTAAGCACCAGTGACCAGAAGGACTTCCCCCGTCTCCCTGTGGGCTGCCTCTCCTCTTCCGGGTTTGCCCTTTATTCTGAGTTCTATGCTTTCTCCTTGCATATTGTTGAACCATTTCAAATACTGGAGCAGTTGTGCATGGCCACCGGCTACACCAACTGTTGTTCTAAAAAACCAACTATCTGGCCCAGCCTGCTCACCCCGGTCAGCATGCACCCCGTGTGAGCCTGTGAGCTGCTTCCCGACATGCATGAGCCGCCCAGCCAGTCCGCTGTGCCGAGGATGGCTTCCTCTGCCTTCCAGGCCCTGGCCAGTGCCTGGAGCATGGAGCTAAGGTGCGCTGGGCCCCCACCCCAAGCCTCTCCGCAGCCCATGCTCAAGCGCTAGTGGAAGCCTTTTCCCCAGGGGGTCAGCCTAAGACAAGGGTCCGATCCAAGGAGACTTTGAGCAGAGACCGCCACGGGGCTCAGCCTTCACCAACCACAAGGGGGCGCTGACCACACCCAGGGCCATGGCTGACAGGCGCTGGGGACAGAAGGGGTTGCACAGAGTCCTCCGTAACCACCTTCTCTTGGCAAGTTCTCTGTCTGCCACTAGCAGTATTCTGACTGGCACATACCTTACCTCTGCAAGGACACTGGCCTCACCTCCAAGCCCTGAGCTACCTTTCTCTTCATGCCTCCCCTCCCACTGGTCTGTGGATTCTCTTTAAAGGATGCCACTTTCAGAACATGGATCTTGGTTGGCTAAGCCCACAGGGTCCTGGTCAGACCAGGCCCACCCCGTCGCCCTCCTCAACCAAGGGACAGGGGAGATCACTTTACTTTTGGGGTCTGACCTGCCATCTGCCAGAGCAGCCTGGGGGAGTTGAGGCTCCTCCCACATCCCCAGGTACCCCTCTGCCTTGGGGGCTGTAGTTGTCCAGCCTGTCTCCAAGTCCCTTCCTACCCCTCAGCTCAGTTCCAACCCACAGCTGCCTGGACCTCCGGTTCTCTCCGCCAGCCTGCCATCCCACTTACAACATTGGGACTCAGACCTCCGGGGGCCGACCCTGGGGCTCCTCGCCCCCCTCAGTGTGCCTGCCGGCCCCTCAGCGCCCCTTGCCCGCCGCCCCGCCCACCCATCTGCAGGGGTGCCAGGCAGCCTCCTCTACATACCCTTTCTCACTCCTCCACCAGGTGGGCACGCGTACTCCCCGGTTGATAAGAGGAAGCAGGGTCCGTATCTCTCGCGGGTGCCCGAGCGCGTAAAGGGCAGGCCCTCATCGGGAGTGAGGGCCTGGTCTATGTGGGGGCAGTCTTCGTTCGCCAGCGCGGCCTTCGCCACCTCCCCATTCAGTTTGGAATCTTCAAACATATAAGCAGAAGCTATTGAGACACTGAAAACTGTTTAGTGGGGGAGGGGGGGGGAACAGGCCAGAAGTAGGGCATCGGCAAAGGGCAGCCGGTAACTGAGGATGGAAAAGCGAGCAGGCCATGGAGGGAGGCACAAGGCTGGGGGTCCCCGGCTCATTCAGGCAGCCCTTGGGCTGCCCACAGTGCTGGGGAGGAGGGTTCCTGGGTTTGCTCAAAGTTTGCAAAAAGATGAGTTGGTGATGGGCCCAGCAAGCGCAGTGCTGGGGGCCGGGCCCCAGGTCCAAGGCGGGGCCGATGAGACAGGATGGTGTGGATGCAGTCATGGGTAGAGGGCCAGACACAGAGCTCAGGGAGAAGACAGACAGACACGCAGAAACACTCCTACTCAGAGAGGCAGCCTTTTCTGACCCCTCCGCTGCCAACCAGAGCCCTGCTGCCTCCCATCCACATCCAAGCTGGCTGCTCAGGCATCCCTGGCCCCATCCAGACCCCGTCGATCGGCTCTACACCAGGCCCCATTTGGATCCCCTCTGGTCACTCGCTTCACACTGTCCCCCTCCACACCCTATCTGATCACTCAGTCCCCCCATATGGACCCAATCTGGTTACTCTGTATGCTCCATCCCCCATACAGACTAGGCCTGGTCACACAGTCTCCTGGTCCCCCATGCAGACCCAGTATGACCACTCAATCTGCTCCATCCCCACACAGACTTAAGCTGGTCACTCAGTCCACTCTGATCGCCACACAGACCAAGCCAGGGTCTTCCACCCCGCTCTGCCCCAAGCAGTCCTAGTCAGCTTGCACAGGCGCAACAGGAATGTAGGCATGAGGCAGTGACAGCGGCCAGGATTTGGGAGGGGCTCCCATTCCTCTGTCTCCTCTCGGCAGCAACCCCCGCAAAGCAGAGCAAATGGATGTGTAAAGACAACAGTGGCTGATGGACTCGGGTGGGAAAGACGAGTCTTGGCCTCTGCAGTAGCCTGAGAAGGAACCTGGGAGGAAGTTTGGGGCACATTTGGTGAGGGTGAAGCATGGCCAGAGCAGGGAGCTCTCCCTCTCCCAAGTCCAGGAGCAGCGCCGTGATAGCCTCTGGAGCTGGTAGAGGTAGCTCCGTCGGCCTCTGTCCCCGCCCATCACTCTCGGGGACTGAGCCTGCCCCACGCTTTCTGCTCTCTAAGCAGACTCTTCCTGGCCAAGGTGGCGCCGACTCGGTCTCCAGGGTGGGCGCTGTGGTTTCCTCAAATACTCCCTCTAGGGTGACAGCCTCAAGGGAAGACAGACCCCACAGGGGCGTGACCACACGGGGAGGCCCTCTGAAAGACTAAAGAGGGGCAAAAAGCTGGAGACAGTCTCCACCCGATTTGACCCTCTTCCATGACCCTGTTCACATCATGTAACTACACGCAGAAGTGATCCTTCTCCGTGTGCACACACTCAGCGTGCCCGCGGGTGGGATCACGGCCCGTGTACATATCATGTCACTACAAAGAGGCAGGCAGTCAAAAGAGAAATGGACCAATCAGGTTTATTCGTAAAGCAAATCCAAAAAAAAAAAATCCCATCATAATTTTGGAACTTAAAAAAAAAGTCTGTCGTACAAGATGGCAAAGCATTTCACGTACAGTGCGTTTCTTGACAAATCCCAGGGGCTTCACTCCCCAATTTACTCTGAACCAGAAAGGCCAGTTACCAAGGTAACTCTGATACCACGTGACTCGGGCTGGGGCCTCTCTGGGGTCTGGGGGCTGCCTAGCACTTGGGGTGTGTCTGAGGGCACACACGTGTGCGCACAGACAAGCCCGGTTCTGCCTCCCAGTCTGGCTGTCCCGTCTTCCCTCCCAGGGGTCTCTGGGGAGAAGGCAGGGAAGTTTAAGGGAGGAGGTTGTAGATGAGGGGGCAGAAGTTGGGGCCCACAGTACCCTGCACACAGTTTCCTCAAGGGGAAAACAGCGAGTCCTACCAGGCAGCATCTCCGTCTGGGAGGGGAGCCGGGACTTGCTGTCTGTCTACTGGCCATCGTCTGTCAGTGGAGGTATCTATAGCCTGCAGGGTTTACCCAGGGGTGGGTCAGAGGTAGGTGGTGGAGCCTGAGACCCCTCATCTGACTCTGCCCCCCAGCACTGTGCCTCTGGAGCAGCCAGCTCCCACAGCATTTAGAGGACCCAAAGTTGAGGCTGGCTTCCTGTAGGGGTCTGGCCAGGGGGCAGCCATCAGGGATCCCTGGGTGGATGTGAACTGGACACCCTTCCCTCCCTGGAGCCTGCTTCTTCTCCCAACCATGGCCTTTGAGAAGGGGCTGTGCCTGAGGGCTGGTGGTGGGGGGAGTGTTTATGTCCCTCTCTGTGAAGGAGCCAGCCTCCCTGGGCTGCTGGCTAATCTGCAGTTTGGTGAGCTCTCAGAAACTGGGAACATTCTCCCTTCCCAACTCCAGAGGGGGGCTGGAAGAGAGACCACCCAAGGGGGGGCAGCTCTCCAAACCTGGGAAAGCCATGGAAAAGGCCAGAGGTGCCAGCCCACCCAAGACTCCCCACCCTCCTGCCCCCACCCCGTCCTTTAGATGAGATGGCCACCAGGCCCCTCGGCTCCCAGCTGCTCCCCAGGAGGCTGGAAGCCCTGCCTCCCCTGGCCCAGGGCCCCTTGGCCCCCACTAGACCCGAGGGCCTGTGATGATGAAATGGCAGCATGGGCAGCATCTCACGAAGATGGTTTCCAGGCTTTGAAATGGGCTGAGAGATGAGCGTCCGCGAGAGGGTCATTTTTTTTTAAACTTTGGAGCAAGGAGAACCCGATGTCCGGCCCTGAGCCAGCACGCTGGCTTCTGTGCCCTGGTCTCCAGGCACCGCCGAGGTACTTACTGTTCACACCAGCAGCGGGCGCGCCAGGGGCGCACGCAGGGCTGGGGCGGGGTGGGAGGGGTGGCTGGGAATTTCCTCGGGTTTAGCCCCGAGGGGGCTGCCCAGCCTGGGGCTCAGGGAAAAAGTCCCAGGCTAACTGGGGACAGTCTGTGAGAGACACGAGCAGAGTACAATCACGAGAACCGGCACAAGTCATGCAACAAAACGAGGAGAGAGAGAGAGAAACATGATTAGTGGAGAGAGAGAAAGAGAGAGCATGTGAACAACACAGAAAAGAACACCCAGGCCTGGCCCTCAGAGCCCCTCATTTCTCCACTCCTTCCCCCTTCGCCTGCCTGGGGGCCACACCGACCCCACTCAGGGCTCCCGCTGCCCACCCTGGCCCTGCCTCTGAGCAGAAACTCGGTCAGCCCGCTTGGAGGGGCCCTGCCCACACCCTTCCTGGTCACTGTTGTCCCAATCCCCGCCACCTCCCCTGCCCTGGGGGCTACACCACTCCTGGCCCAGGAGGGGAGGGGTGGAGGGCTGGGGCCAGGGGCGCTTTGGACTCGGCAGGCAGCTCAGGGCAGAACCCAGAGGCTGCAGTGGTAGCTCCCAGGGGGCCCAGGCAGGGGCTTTTCGGGACCTCACTGCTGTTCTATGTGCTCATGGGCAGGAAGGGGGGCCTGGCCACCACCCATCCCCCGTGCCAGCCCCCTCGCTGCTCACCTATGGTGGGACCCTGCAGCCCCAGACGCAGCACCCCAGAGGACCAACCCACATCACAGAAGCAGGGATGGACGAGACACATGTGAATGCACATGGCAGGACAGAGGGAGCACTCCGAACTGCCCAGAGGAGGTGGTCTGGGCCCCCGACTGCAGATGGGGGAGGGACCACCCCTTCTGGGAGAGGAGCAGCTCCTCCTGGGCTGTCAGTCCCAGGCAGTCCCTGACCATAGGGGCGCCCTCCTGGCATCCCCCCGTGAGGCCCTACAACCCCTGCCAAGACAAATCCCCTGAACACTGACGCCATGCCAGCCATGGTACAGAGGAGACTAGATCATCCCTCACAGACACACAGACCTGAGGTTTCAGGAGAGACCAAGAGGTGGAGGTGAGGGGAGGGTGCTGCTGACATGACTGGGATGGCTTGCCTGAGTCCCAAGGGTCTAGCCCTGGAGGTAGGGGGTGCCCTTAGAGCCCAGCACGTTGCACTTGGCCCCAACCCAGGTTCTAAAAGTGGAATTGGAGAAGCCCAGCCCTTGCTGAGGCCACTTGACTGCCCTTGGGTGTGGAATGAGACTGGAAGGGCCCGGGGGGGCTGCATCTCACCTCTCCATTCCTGTAGGGTCCGGTCTCCCCCGCATTTGCCTTCCTCACCTCTGGCCTCCCCCACACTCACTCACCGACTCACCCGAACCCCACGCCCACCTAGGACCACAGCTGCAAGCAGGAAAGGAGGCAAATGGGAAGGGACTCAGGGGTGCCGGGTTGAGGAGACACCCCCTAAGGACCACACACCCTCTTGGTGATAGATAACCTGGGTCTCACACACCAGCTTTCAGAGGGAGGAGTGTTCTGGTGAGGTATGAGGCTCAGAGGGGTCTGGGATCTCAAGAGAGCATCCTCAGGAGCGTGAGAACTTGGAAAGGGGGCGGGGCAGAGTTTGGGGATGGGAGGGAGAAAGGTAGGTGGAGTTGGGCATCTGGGCTCCAGAGGGCAGGCTCAGAAGGGCCCCAAGTACCTCCTCAGCCTTAGAGACCGTGCAAGCCAGGACACTCTGGATCCCTGAGACCTGGGGCTGCAGCGAGGAGGTTCCCAGGAGCAGGGCTGCCATGGCTATGGGGCCCAGGGCCTCCAACAGGAGTGCACAGGCTTTACAGGCCTGCTGCGGCATGGCAAGAGGGCTTGTGTCCTGTGACTAGCTGGTGTACCTGCCAGCACGCACACATCTGCACTCCGCGTGTGTGTGCACGTGCATGCACGTGTAGGTGTGTGTGCATGTATGTATGTATGTGTGTGCGTGCATGCACGCCCTCAGCACATGGAGAATACTGGCATTGTCTGGGAGTACTGAAGAATTTGCGCCTGACTGGAGTGAATGAGGGATCCTTGACAGGTGGGCCTGGGGCACCCATATTTGAGGCACTGATCCCAAAAGATTCAGCGTTGGGAGGATGTGAAAGAGGGCCAAGGAGCGCCATGGTGATGCCACTCAGGCTGAGCTCTTCCTGCTGGGGCCTGGAGTGAAGCTGGGGGGCTAGGCTCACCCAGACCCTCCCCTAGGGCCCCAGGAATTTTCCTTGCCATGATGGTGGCTCCTGAGGTCGAACAGAAGGGCTATAGCTAACCCAAAGCAGGAGGGGGGGCAGGGGCTTTCCTCGGCCCATGCCTGCCTTGCTAAGCAGGAGCCACACCTTGGCTGGGGAGTCCAGCCCGCCCCCGCCGCCAGGTCCCCCTGTTCCAGCCTCTGAGACCCCTGCCCAGTCCCTGGCCCAGCCCAGAACACTAGCCACGTTCCTCTCAGGTGCCTACAGCAATCCCAGGGAGTGGGGAGGGGTATGGGGCCAGGCGAAGGGGCTGGAAAGTTCCCACGGACAGAGAAGTGGGCCTTGGGGGTACTGCTCTGGGCAGCGTAGCTGTGGGATGAAGCCAGATCAGGAGTAGGATGGGGGTGGGGGCCATCGGGGGAGAGTCAATCACCCACTGGGGGAGGCCACCCAGGCCAGAGGGCACTTGCTCCTCTAGGCCTGAGCTAGCCTACAGCTCCCCTGCCTGCCCTGGGCACAGGGGTGTCTTCTGTAGACTAAACGCCACCTATCACTGACTCAGCCTTCCTCGCCCCGGCACTCCTTCTTAGCTCGGTGTTGTCATTCTTCTCTGGGTCGTTCATTGCCTTCAAATCCCTGTGTCCACAGAATAAGTCGATGGTATTCCATGGGTAGAGGTAGACTATGGGCTTTATATCTTCGGACCAGAGCCCCATGATCAACTTTATGTGCTATGTGCAGGTTCTCATAAAACTGAGATAGTCCCATAACGAACCACTAGCCATGGAATATTAGAATATATCCCACGGTGACTAGTATTGTTTCATGGCCCCCCTCCCCCCCTCCCTGACCCCCACTGAATTCACGGGAAAGTGGTCGTACACTGGTTGGGATGTCGTGTATTGCTGCTGCAGTCCCTACCGCCGGAAACGGGGAGAACTCTGGGTGGGATGTTGTTTGCTGGTCTGTAGCGCTTTCATCTAAGCTGCCGGGTGGTGGCCCCCTCTAGTCCTTCGCTCACCAGCCGCTCCCATCAGAAGGCCACCGGAAACTCCCACTTGACCATCAACCCAAACAGACAACGTGAAAGCTAGAGTCACTCCAACAGGTTCCTAAAGATAAACGCTAAACTCTAGAGTGGTGGTGGAAGATGAGTTGGTTCCGCATGCTGTGGGGTAAGTAAGCTTGTTACGTACGGAGGGCAAGAGGCGTCTCCCAGGACGCGCCTGGAGCTAGGCAGCCGGCATCAGAGCAGGAATGCTACTCAGCTATGGAGACAGCTCTGGTGGGGGTGAGAATCCTTGCTGCTGCCTTTGCAGGGACCCTCCTGCCAGATCCCATGCACCATCTGTGCCACACACACACGGCCTGAAGGGAGCCGTGTAAAGACCAAATCAGCAGCTGTCTGGCGTTTCCGAATCACACCCGCCCCCGCCCTGCCCCGACACTGGGTCAGTGGCCTGAGTCAGCGACTCATGCTCCACTCCTGCCCACCAAGCAGCAGTGCCCCCGGGGCTCCTGCCAAGAGAGTCCTCAGCAACCTCGCGGGCCATGTCATCTCTTCAGAACCCCACGAGACCAGCATGTTAACCTCCTTACCGGGGGCCACCAGTGAGGTTCTAGCAGGCTCTTGCCTCGTGAATTCGGCTGCCCAGCATCTCCCTGGGCCCCCAGACTCCACACCTCGAGATTGAGCGCAGGGTCCAGGGTCACCCATGGAACTAAGGAAGCAGTCTGACTGAATCTGGAATCATCGCTACAGGGGGCGGAGGTGAAAGGTCAGATCGACATGCCTCTAAGAGGTTTCCTACCTGCTCTGTTAATTTCTAAAATTTCTTCCTGGGCCAGCGGGCATGTGTCACTCTGAGTACTGTGGTGTGGAGAGTTTACGACAGATTTACAATAATTGGGAGATCCCAGCTGCGGTGGCCGTGGAATATGCTTCTTTTTTTTCTTTGGTAGTTTCTGCTTAGCCATGGCTAAGGAGTAATACATCCCGAAATTGTTCACAATGACGGGCACGGGCATGGCGATGGTCAGCACACCCGCCAGCGCACACAGCGCTCCCACCAACATGCCGGACCACGTCTGCGGGTACATGTCTCCGTAGCCCAGCGTCGTCATGGTGACCACGGCCCACCAGAAGCCAATGGGGATGTTCTTAAAGTGGGTGTGCTCACTGGCACTGGGGTCATTGGGCTGCGCCCCTATCCTCTCAGCATAGTAGATCATGGTGGCGAAAATCAGGACGCCCAGAGCCAGGAAGATGATGAGCAGTAAGAACTCATTGGTACTGGCGCGGAGAGTGTGGCCCAGGACGCGCAGGCCCACAAAGTGGCGGGTCAGCTTGAAGATGCGCAGGATACGCACGAAGCGGACGACACGCAGGAAGCCCAGCACGTCCTTGGCCGCCTTAGAGGACAGGCCGCTCAGGCCCACCTCCAGGTAGAAGGGCAGGATGGCCACAAAGTCAATGATGTTGAGCGAGTTCTTGATGAACTCCACCTTGTTGGGGCAGAAGACCACACGCATGAGGAACTCGAAAGTGAACCAGACCACGCAGACGCCCTCGATGTAGGTGAGGAAGGCCTCTGTCTCCGCTTCCCGGTAGTAGCGCACTTGCGTGCCGTTCCGAACGTTCTCGATCTCTGTCTTGTTCACGATGGGGTTGAAGCGCTCGTGGGTCTCCAGGCAGAAGGTGGTGATGGAGACCAGGATGAAGAAGAGGGAGGCAAAGGCCACATACTGTGGAGGAGAAACACACAGTGTCAGAGGGGAGGCCCTCTCCCCAGAGCAAAGAGACCCCGGGTGCCTCTGGGCTGGGTCCAGTCAGGGGCTGGGCTGTGGAAGATGCCTACAGGATGCCCCTCCTGACATAGGCCAGGCTGACAGGCCACCTTTCCCTCTTCAGAGCACGGAGCATGGGGTTAGGAGGCTCGGGGGTTAAGAGGTTGTGGCAGAGATTGCTCTGTTTTCACAAATGCCTCTCCTTTCCTCCTGGATGCACGGCTAGACCATATCTCCCAGCCTCCCTCGGGGCTGGGTGGGGTCACGTGACTGCGCTCAGGCCAGCGGACAGTGCGCTAAGGCCGGGCCTGGCTCACAAAACCTCCTGCTCAACCTTCCATGCCTTCTTTCTTCCCCCAACTTCCAGTCAAATGCTGAAGCCCTAGGAAGCCAGCAGGGCCACCAGAAGGAAGCAGCCTGGGTCCCTGAAAAGAAAGACAGCCACTACATGGGTGGGAAATAAACTTCTACTGTCTTAAGACACTGTGATCTGGAGGTGATTTATTAAAGCATTTACTCCCCCCCATGCCAACTAATAAAAGTGACCTAGGTGGCGGAGGCAGAGGTTGGCAAAGAAAGGAGAAGGAGGAGCTATGGTGGAGGCAGGCCCCTCAGAGGCCACATCTCCCATCTTTCTTTCGTCCCTACGCTAGTCTATTCACCCTCTTTCTCACGGATCTGTACCTCATTCATGCGGTCTCTTCATGGTCTATCCTATGTGGAATTGCAAAAGGTATATCTGCCCCAGGGCCTTGCACACCTCTTTTACCCACTTCTCTCTATCATCCCAGGAACTCACACCACCATCCTGGAAGTGAGTTCCCCATCTTGGAGATATTGAAATAGAGGCTAAGTGGTCATTTGTCAGAGATAGTGTGTTGCAGTTCAGGCATCAGGAGAATTGGACCAGGGGTCCTCAAAGGCACCATAAACCATAGGGTCTGCTTCTCTCCTACTGCTGCCTGCCAGCCCCAGGGTAGGGATGTGGGTGGGAGGGAAGAAGAAGCTGCTGGGGCGCTAGCCTTTCCAAACATATGTGGGCGCTTGCTCCTTTCAGACCCCCTCCCTGGTGAGAAGGAAATGGCCAGGATAACCCAGCCTGTCCAGAACCACCTGCTCTGGCCCTGAGCCCCTTGAGAAAGGTTCAGAAGACTCTTTGGTTTGGTTTGGTGGCCCCAGCTGATGACCCCCTGGGCTTCTCTGGCCCCCAGCAGACATGGGTACCCGAGGAAAGAGAGTCAAGCAGCTATCTGAGTTTCAAACCCTCCTACTCAGACTGAATTCCAGGCAAGGGCGCTTCTTACAGCCTCCAGTCGAGGTCCCTGGAACACTAACCCCTGGCCAGGGGTTCTCCTCCAGGGGCCCAGCTGGTCATGTTCCCACTGCTCCCCTCTCCTCTGGACCCCCCTTCGCCCAGACTGTCAAGACAGACCATGGTCAGTGCAAGGCCCTCTCCCTGGAGGCAGCTCTGGGCTATAGTCTAGAATGGGTGGCAAGTTCATTCTCCAGAGCTGCCTTCATAGAAAACTTCAAGGAGTGCCAAGGCCCCACCCTGTATCTGCCACAAGAGGCAGCCATGCTGCTTCTAGCAATTTCTTTAGTTTGTACTGATGCACCTCCCCACCTGGTGGTGGCCCTGTCTGGGCTGACCATGGCCATGGGACCTGGCACCCAACCTGGCACAGATCCAGAAAACAAGAACTACGTAGACCTTCCAAGACACATTTCAGGTTGGGGGAAGGGGAGAGAAAAGGGGAAGAGACAAAGTCAGCATCAGCATTTTAGAATGTCAGAGTAAGAGCAGCCTTTAGAGATTATCTGGTCCAAGACACTTACATGCTACAGATGGGAAGTCTGGGGCCCAGAAACAGGAAGTGATCTGCCCAAGCCACTCATTATGGCATGCTAATACTCCTGCTGGTTTAGAGCATCGTGCAGTTTTCAGAACCTTTGTCCTAGATAGACTACTATCAAGTGTGACCCCTATGCATCCTTCCATCCATCCATCCATCCATCCATCCATCCTTCTTCCCTTTCCTCCTTCCTTCCTTTCTCCCTCCCTTCCACCCACTCATCTTTCCTTCCTTCTATCCTCTCTCCCTCCTTTTTATCCACACATCCATTCATCCTTCTTTCCTCCCTCCCTCTATTCCTTCCTTTCTTTGTTCCTCCCTCCCTCCTCTCCCTCTCTTCCATCCATCATGCATTCATTCATTCATCCCTTCCTCCTTCTCTTCTTTCTTCTTTCCTTCCTTCCTTCCTTCCTTCCTTCCTTCTTTCCACCTACCCATCCATCCATCCATCCATCCATCCTTTCTTCCTTCCGTTCCTCACCAGGCACCAGGTTATGCCCAGCACAGAGTGGAATAAGACCCCAGCCCAACCCCCAGGGAGGCCCTGCACAGCTGAAGGTAAAGGACACACACAGAGACAAGTACAATGCAGTGGACTGAAAAGGTGAGCCCCCTCAGCCCTGTGATGCAGGTGGGGTTTGGACAAGGTGAGGCAGGGACTTAAGCCAGGTCTTCTGACTCCAGAAACAGCTCTTTAAGGATCCAGATAGTGCTGACCTGGGACACCACAGAGGTAGACCAGGAAAGCAAAGTGGAAGCAACTGGAAGAGGTCACCAGCTCTGATCCAGGTTTACCCAGCTCCAGCGCTCTTTCCATCACCAGTTGTCAAAGCTCTTGGAGCTAAGAACACATCCCCAAATGCTGGGTATTTGGCCCTAGATTCCCTCTGGAGGGCCCCGTCTTAGAGCTTGGAATTCACAGCCCAGGTTCCCAAGGGGTGGGTCACATTGCTCCCCTGGCCTTTTTGAGAGAGGGGAGGAAGAGACACACTGTGAGTGTCTAAGGGATGCCAAGAGGTAGGGTCCGCTGTGCCCCTGGGCTCCTGACCCTGGCCAGTGGTGTAAGGCAGGAGGCACTGCCCCTCCCCCTGCCCCATCAGCCATGGCATCCGCTTCCCCAACCATCCCACAGCTATCCTCCTCTGTCCCCTCGACTCACATGGGACTCTCTCTCAATGGGGCCACTGCCATCAAAGCCAGCATGCTGTAGGCTTCAATCTCGGCCACGCCCAGTACAGTACAGCCTCCACCCAGCTACCAGAGGGGGCAACCGTTGGAATCCCAGCTCTCTGTCTGCCACCTGGCCGTGCTGCCCACAGAGAAAAGCCCTGACTCCTCAGCCTGGCACATGAGGCTCCCTGTGCCCTGGCCTCATCGACTTCCCAGGGTCCCCTCCCTGCTGCACACAACATTCTTGCCACATGCAGCTGTCTGCTATATCTGACCGCCCCCCACCCCATCTCCATGTCTTTGCACTGCTGTTCCTGCCTCCAGGGTGTTCCTGCCGATCTCCGTATGGAAAAACCCATCCGTCCATCGGTGCCCCACTAAGTAGTCCTTCTCCCGGGACACCTTTCCCGGTGAGACTTCCGTCTTGGCAGCTGGGGCCCTTAGGAGGCAGCAAATGCAGGGACCACCCCTCCCCAACAAGGAATGTCTAAATCCCCCTCCAGTGAGGCAGTGAGCCTGTCTCCGACTCATACTTGTTAGTGCTTGCGGAGTCTCACGGGAACAGCTCAGAGAGGGCACTGATGTCCCCGGAGCCTTCTCCCTCCCTCCCAGGTGCCCCCAAAGGCCCTCAGAGCTCTCGTCCCATTTGCTCCTCTCACAGGACAGGTTCTGATGGGAAAACTGAGGCCCAGAAAGAGGTCAGGTCTTCTAAAATTAGGCTAGACAAAATCCTTGGTTCTCAGCCAGCAATGGCCATCCCGTCTAGATTCTTTCCTCTCTGGGCCCCAGTGACCGAGGAGTGGGGCTGGGGGGTGGGCAGCAGCAGCCAGGCCTAGAGCCAGACACCAGGACTTCTTCCCCAGGGGAGCCGGGGAGGTGGTAGCCAGGCCTCCTACCCGGCCTGGGCCTCCTGGGTGCCTTCCTGGACTCTGCAGCCCGTGCACCTGGTCCTTTGTCACAGGCAGGGCCCCAGCAACATCTGGGTCCAAGTGGGCCCTTAGGGGGGCTGTGAAGGAAGGTGCCCCTGGCTTGCTCAGACTGCCACAGTCTCCTAAGCCCAGTGACTAGCAGGTCAGCCCCAGCGCATCAAAGCCAAAGCAAGAGCCCGCAGCCAGGTGAGTCCCCAGCGCCCTCCTGTCCATCCTCAGGGAAGCTGAGCCAGGAAGGAGAAAGGAGAAGCTGTCAAGGCTGAGGACCTACTGTGCGCCTTTAATCCTCCCACAGACCTGGTGAGACAGGTGGTCGTACCCCATTGCGCCAAAAAGGAAACCCAAGTACAGAGAGGTTCAGGGACTAAACCAAGGTTTAAGGCTGGTGATGAAACTGAGGCTTGAATGCAAGTGGATCTGGCTCCATAATCTAAGCTCTGTCCACCACCAGAGGTACCAAAGCTCTCAGGGGCTAACAACACAGCTCTGCGCAATGGGGAGCCAGCCCTAATTATACGTGGATGGCTCCATCTTGGAGGCTGGCACCCACAGCTTGGACTCCCTGAGGGCAGGTTATGTCTGTCCCCAGTGACGGAGAGAGCCAGGGTACTTGGATCCACAGGCTGGATCCCAGGCACACCTGAAATGGTCTTGGGCCTCATTGCCCGGGGCTTGCTAGCACCTGGGGCAACGGCAGCCCCAGGGCCGGGGAGGCTGCCCCGTTCTGCTCAGGGAGGCAATGCCGACAGCAGCCCTGGATGGCTCAGCCTGCATGCCTACCTGGCCCACCTCTTGGCAAGACCCAGAGAGGGCAGGCTGAGAGATGACCACAACTAGTTCGGGGAGATCAGCCAGAGGGAGGGGGTGGGTGCATAGGCACGGGAATGGGGAGTTCCCGGGATCAGCTCATGCTGACAGGGAGGGGACCTCTGCCTGGCGGGCCCAGGTAGCAAGCCTTGGAAGCCGTTTCTGCAGTCACCCTGGGCTGTCACTCTCAGGACTGTAG